CCAAATTAGACCTTATTAGATTAGCTTTTAGATAGGGAACTGGATTCAATTTTTAAAAATCAGACGACTCAAAAAAATGACCCATTCTCCCTTTTTAAGTCCTAAAACTTAAACGATGCATAGACATACAGTAGAGCATATGTTTTCGATTTCATCCTCCTCCTCTTATTCTCTATGACAATATGACTGTGGCTACATGATTGGCTTCAACCCTCACTCAAGCCCCGATTGATTGATGTCGACTATGGCATGCACTAAGTTAGGCATCTCATGACGTGAAAAACTTTAAAGTTCATCCTCCCTCCTTCTTTATTTCGTCGATCATTTTGTTTGCCTCTACTTATAGCCACCAGTCGACCACCATCACCATCCCCTTCTTCTTGTTCGATAGTCTTTTAAGTTTTCAGTTCTGATCTTCTTCTTCATTTGTCTAATTCATCAACATATTAAGTTTTTTTGTATTTCAATTCCTTAAATATTCAAATCTTTAGATTGAAATCATGTGAACATTGTCTATTGGTAAATTTCTCGTTGGTACAATTTATTGTATATATATTCTATAATTTTCTTTATCTTAACAAGAAGTTGAAATTTAGAAACATTATTAGGTGAGCTTAATTTACAGATGAATTAATCGGTCAATTAGTGTATATTTAGCTTGTATGCATGACAAATTTGACATTTCCTTCCCTTTTAAACTTCTTTTCACCTCTTACTTTTCTATTTACAATGTGAATTCTTAAAAGGAGTAAGTTAAGAAATGGATGTTCAATTTTTATTGGGTGAATTCTTAAAAGGAGTAAGTTAAGAAATGGATGTTTAATTTTTGTTTAAGAATTAATTTAATTGTGAAACTAATACCATTAGCTAGAGTTAGGAGAAAGCTCTCTATAAATACGTAAATCATCTCAATCATACATTGGGCAAAGAAATGGGGTGCATCAAAAGTTTACCCTAGTTGCTGTCATATGGCAACAACAATATTGTGAAAAATGAGTGATACACCGTGACATATAGCACTTGAACCACAGTGCAATGTACAGATGCAAACATGCCATGACCCACATGAAACAAGGTATAGTGTGCCTTTGTTTTTTGTTGCATTATTTTTGGTTTTCAACTTTATTGCAAATGTTTTAACATATGCAAGATCTCATGCTTCCACATACATCTTTAGCTCTAATTTTTAAATTAATAAAGGTATATTGAGGTATTTTAAATTTTAAAATTTTGGGATCCTATTTTGTAAAACTTACAGACTTGGTAATCTTTTCGAGTTAGTCCTTTAACTACCTTGATCTTGGAACTAAGTGGAGATTAAAAAGAGAGACCTTACAATAACCCTTAACCAAATGGATCAATCATGGCTTTAAAGGTTAATAATAGTAATAAAGGCCAACCTTGAAATTGGGATCTAAAAAATATTTAAAAAGATTGATATAATATTTTTTAGCAATTAGAGTGATTGAGAATATGTGAAAAATTAAATATACTACTTAGCTTTGAGAAAGGGACATTAAATGACAAAATATTAATTTTGAAAATTTGCACTAGCTCATTGTGGCTAAAAGTTCCCTTACCACGGCCAACTGTGAATTGACATACTTGCCATTGTTGAAGGCACGTTTGCCACAGCACAAGTCACCATGACCTATTCGTGAAGGCCAACACACACACCAAGCACTGTGTTAACAACATAGTAAGCAACATGAAAAAAGTAACTTCAACCTTACTTAACTAATTGCTCGGATACTAGATTAGGGCAATCCAAGAGTTTAAACACGGACAAATTAAATATCTAATTACTACTACCAATTATAACTCAATCTAATACCAAATAAAGATCCTGAAACACTGCGTGCCAGCAAGAGCATTAAAGCCTCTTGGATATATAAAAGTGTCTCCCCTGAATATTAATTCATAACATAGGCTTAATTGCAATATCAAACATGCATAATAAGACTCTCTTTAATAAATCAAGTTGAATCAAATAATGAAGGTGATAAGCCTTATGAACATATTTGCACAAATTCATTTCTAACTCTAGGGCCAAACCATCAGCATGCTCAAGTTAACAAATAGGTCTAACAAGTAATTGTTGAATAATCTAAACATGAAAATGAGATATAGCTAACATGTGTAAACCCTTAATGTTAACAATAATAAGTATTCAAATATATAAACTATAAAGCTAGAGGCTTTACTAAAGAATTAAGCATCTCTAGCCTCCAATACTTCCCCTTGAGCCGCGTACTTAGCATTTTCTAGAAAATATTAAACAACAGGAGTGAGATTATACAATCTTAATAACCAATGCACATACATTCAAGTACATAAAAATGTGGTAAATACAAGCACATCAAGTAGGGAATCACAGATAACGATCTTTCTATATTCAACATGTATAATAAGACTAATGATCATTAACTAAAAAGCATATAATGCAATGATGATAAATCATATATGACCATATGCATTCCACATTTATTCTTCTCCTTATATCTTCTAATTGAATTCATAAGCTATCAAATCATATAGGACTAACCTACGTGATCGAAGTAGGCTTGCTTTTCAATTGTGATGAGTGACTTAGCTAAGGCTCCATACTTAGCCTCAGACTATGGATTCCCCTATTCTAAACTCATAGGGTGTCATTCTACTTAGTCCAGGGTAATACCCAATCTAGGGTAATAGTTAAAAACTAAAACACTAAGGCCTTGTGATGCTGGTGAGTATCGTATAGATTTCCTTATTGCCCTATTCTCTCAAGTGAACTACTCATCCATGATCATACAATATGTTTATGTTAGCCAATGACATGTCAAAAATGCAAGCTTGATTAACTTACCTCATAATCAATTACATATTATCCAACCATGTATAGTTAACCACTACTCGAGCTTCATGCCAATGTCACAAACTCATGCTTAATGACATATCATCATCATATGCTACCATTTTTGTTACATTGAAAAGTATTTATGAACATAAACATGATTTGCAAATCTTAATAACTAGTAAAGTGTTTACAGATTCTAGACAATCAAAAGGGAAAAGGGTAAAGGATGTGACTTTGATTGTGTTGGACAATCAACTTTGGAGCGATTGTTAAATTGTGGTCTAAATTATTTCACTATTTATTTGATTATTAAGAATTGTTGATGTTGATGAGAGACCTTCACTTAGGTATGTATATGATGGCATGTATAGGCTAAGAAAAACTACCAAGTATATATTAATAAACAAAAAAAAACCTTAGACAAGCCTTATACAAGGATCATCAAGAAAAAGGTGAGATACTCAATTTCATTATAAGCTTCATGTGGTAGTTTATTTCCTGAATCTTATATTCTTTTATGATAAGTAGAACATCTCTAAAAGACTGGACGTCATGGTTGGATTTCTTAATAATTTGGATAAGACATTCACCACTAACAAAACCAAGTTTGTGCAAGACAATCTATTGCATCAAGATAGAATTGATAGCTTTAGTCGTTCCTCAGTCATTTAATCTATAAACACATTATGGCAAAGTAAATTTTATATTCTTGTCATTTAATTATAAAAAGTATAGTTCTTACTTATTTTTATCTTTGGTGCTAAATATCATATATGAATGGTGGAAAATGTTTGGAGATAGTACACTAAATGTTAAAAAATTGACAATGAAACTCTTGAGCCAAACTTCATCTTCATCTGGTTGTAAAGGGAATTGGAATGTATTTGAAATAATACACTCTTAAAAAATGAATAGGTTGGAACATAAAAGGTTAAATGATCTTGTGCTTAGTCATTATAATTTTCGTTTGAAAAATAGGTATATTATTTAATCATTACTAAACTTTAATTCAATTTATTTAACATGAGTTCAATTATGAGTTCTTAACTTCTAATACCTTGGTATTGTTATGTGTTTTAGAGTTTATAATAAGAAAAGATTTTTTGATCCTATTTATAATGAAACTATTGGTGACATTGAGTATTAGATCATGAAAGATGAAGAGTATCTTATCCTTAATTATGATGAGGTAGAAGAAGCCATTCTTTATGATGATGCAATAATTTCACAAGTTTCTATCAATCAAGATGAATGTTTGATCTTTTGATGTTTTCTATTTAGTCATGTTTTTTTTCTTATATTATATGTTACTTATTAATTTCAATAATTGATTTGTTACACTATTTAATAAAGGTAATAATGAAGAAAGAGGCAATGAGATTCAGTCTGATGGTAGATGTTCTATTATGGGAGGACTTGATGTGGGATCTTTTTTCCAAGAAGATGGTAAAACTTAAAGTGATGATGATTTTCAAGAAACTCATGTTTGACTTAATTAGGATCTACCAATCTTTGACAAGTCATGAATAGATAAATATGATGCTATGCTTGTTTAAGTTGTTGGTGTGTTGTGTTGTATTGCCTTATTAGTTGTTACTCAATGATATGTTGAAGTTGACAACTTGACTTATATTTTAACCATTTGATATTATGTTGTATCATGTAATTTATTAAGTCATAATAAACTTAGAGTATTTAGTTTCATTTTTAAGTTAAATAGCAATTTTCATATTTATTTCTTATATTTATATTATTATATACATATATAATTTTTTTTAATATAATTATTATGTCACCAATTTGACCATGCGAACTGTAAACTGTTAGCCTTTCTGATTCAATGTCCAATCTACTTTTGAAAACATTGATCCCATTTTTTTTTCTCCATAACAAAGTAAAAATACTGTTGTGTTTAGGAAAGGAATTTCCTTGCAACATACCAAACTTATCATGATCATGATTCCTAAAACTAGGTCCAAATCCAATAGCGTTATGCATTAGCACTTCTTCTTTGTCCTTCTCCATTTTTTTTTTTTTTTGCCAGTTCTTCTTTTTCCTATACCACCCAAGTCACATTCACCCAAGGCCACTTTGCCCAGGATTACTGCACCATATGAACTAGTATTTATTTACTCGGCATCTCTTCACTTTGAGAAAGAAATAATCAGCAAGCATTTGAATTCACCATCTATTAATTCAAATAAAGAAACAACATATCATCATGTTCACTCAAACAGCTTATACAAAAAGCAATCACTAAAATGCGAATTCAATGAACGATCTTTATACATCCAGTCAATTTTCCCAGCAATTAAAGCAACGATGGCTAAACTTGCCAGCCGCTCAAGGTTTCCCGCATTCTCCATTCAACATTATTTTTTATGCTTCCTTACTCCATTATCAACTCCAAGTGAAAGTCGAATATATATATATATATATATATATATTTCAATCCCATTTCATACTTCTTTACAACACTTGCTCCTTTGATGTCGCTGAATTATCTAACACAACATTACCTTGTCCTTCTGCATAAGGTCTGATGAAAGTTCTGCGCCACCACACCTCAAAGGCTCTCTGAAGATTTGGGCAGTTATCACCGGCTTTCAAGAAACTTCCCAACCATGACAGAAGAATACTTTGTTGATCCTCCAGCGGCAGAGTAAGGATTGTCCTCCCAATTCCTTCCTCCACAGCTTTCCTATCAAACGACCTGCATGCATGGTGCAACCAGCCATAGTCATCCATCAGAGGTTGTAACCATGTCTGTAACAACAACTGACGTGTCTCTTTTGATGGCAACAATTCCCCTCTTCCGATACCAACATATAGTTTTCCTGAAATACAGCTGATGTGGTAACGACATACAACAGGTAGCTTTCCATGTAGGACAGCCAATTCCTGCTGGTTTGCCCACATCACTGCAAATTCATCGGCTGCTTGTTTGTCGATTGATATCTCAACCAACCACGACAAGTTATCAGCTTCTAGAGCTATGCGCTTTACTATGGCTTCTTTGTGATCGTTGGGTTTATTTGCAAAGTCCAGCTCTGCAGCCTGCTTGAATAAAGACAACAAAGAATCCGAGCAACTTCTGCATGATTTATGTATCGTGTCAATACAGATTTCAGCAGAACTTGCATGGCTTGGAGCACTGTTATTCTCCCTAAGGAGCTTCAAAACAACAGATTTCATCTCTCTGCGACCTCTCTCCTCATTGCTTTTCAGAACAAGCTCAATAATTTGGGAAAGAGTATCTTTAGGGACATTAGAGATGTCAGAAGAAACTCGTTTCAACACAGGGTTAATCCCAATGCCTTCCCCTTGAAGTCTCAGAACTGTCGAGACAACCTTTTCTTCTTCTTCTTCTCCAACCCAAGGGACTGCCTCCAAGTACTCCAAACATGACTGGATGCATGAGCTGAAGCCAAGGAATTCTGCAACCTGCAAAATAGTTTCTATCAGTTTACTTTAAAGTAATGTGACATATCTTCCCTGAATACTGATAAGTAAACATTAAACACTCGTAACCAATCCCCAGACAAAAGCTATGTATATTCCAGTCACGTCATAATAATGCCATTTAAATAATTTACCTCTTCATAAAAATTTGAACGTGAAGTTCTTTAGAAACCTCTCAAGAATAAGAATATAAATAGGAGGAGGAGAAATACAAGGGGAAAAGGGCTCAAGAAAGATGAAATGACAAAGAACATCAACAATGAGAATGTTTATGATCCCTCTAAATGTTGGATAAGGTGATTCGCAAAAAGAAACTACATGAAAAAGGCCAAAGAGAAGCAGAGAAAACAATCCAATCCAAAAGCAATTTTAGTTGTAAGGCTAAACCCTGAATAGTTTCGGCATTCAGCACCAACTAAAGACATCAGAGGATAGCATGCACAGCACACTGCCGTAGCACTATGCCCTACAAGCTATTGCCAAAGCCATAGAACTTAATCATCAATAAGTGCTTCCAGCTCAGTGGGTTAGTCAAGTTTAAAAAATCTCTAGTCTATTTCAAGTGTAACTCGCTGCTGGGTAAAATGAAACAGTAGCTGTTTCTATCCCAGCAAGCAATTGCACGAACATCAAAAGATAACAGCCATGTAAGGTGCATGAAGCTTGTAATGTCGTTGCTTGAGTACCCTTTCTAAATGAAAAACTTGACCATAGAGGGAGTTCTAAACTTTCAAAGGGGCCTTTCAACAAGGAATTTCTCTCTATTTAGAGGGTAAGGAATAAAATGGGAAGAGATTTTACATAAAACCCATAAGAAGAGTCAACATCTTTATGCCCAGATAAGAAAATAAACAAAAGGAACCACACAAAGTAAAGAATCCAGGGAGTTAATGGAGTAAACAAATATCTGCAGGTTACGTGGGATCACATTAAGTTAGGTCCTTTCTTCGGTCAAAATGCAATGCTCCTAAAACATCCTTTCATCCTAATCCCAGCATCTTCAAAACAAGCTCTTGGCTTATAATTACATGTTAGATCATTCATTATCTCCCAACTTGATATGGCCTAATTTTCTATCTAAAAGAAACATGTTAACAACAAACATTAACAAAGTCCGTGGATCATCTGGAATCTAATAGCGAACTGCCACCATCTTCAAAGAAGACACATGACGAATAGGTTCAAAGCCAATTTTGAACTTCTAAATGCAGTAACAACAACAAGCCTTATCCCACTAGGTGAGATCGACTACATGGATTATATGACGTCATTGAGCTCTATCATTTATTAAGTTTTTAATAATATTATTAATTAAAAGGTTTCACTCAATAACTTCCAAAAGTGTTCTCTTCGATCTTCCTCTACCTTTCTTAACAGAGCTTAAAGTCATCTATTTCACTCTCCTCACAAGTGCCTCCCATGATCTTCTGAATAGTTGATGTTCATTCATATTTCATAGTGCATTCCCCTCTTTATGCAACTTCTAGTATTTCAGTCAACTATACGTTTGTAATAATCTATATATGAGTATAAATCACAAGCTATTTTTGTATATACTAGTTTATGTAACCACCGGAAAAAAAAAAGGATGCTAAGCTAGTTTTCACTCCTCAAGTAACTGCTAATCCTTCATCAATACAAGCCACTTTGTGAGAAATCAAGCATCACATAAAGCACAAGCACAACCCATATTAATTCTCCTCCTCCTTTAGGGCCTGTTTGCCTCGAGAGGAGAAAAGGGTTTTAATGTTACCTTGTTTGGTTCAAGAGAGGAGGGGAGGATAGATAATTATATATAGACAGTTTTATCCTTATATTATTAAAATTATTTTTCTAATAAAATAAAATTATAAATATTTTTAACATGTAATTATAAATATATAGAGTAATTATCATTGTTAAATATATTATTAAAAATCTACTATTGTTAAATTTGTTTAAAATAATTAAAAGTAGCAATTGAAAGAGAGGGTATATTAGTCATTGTGCAACAAAATTATACCCTCCCCTCCCAATCCTCCCAATTCGGAGGGGAGGGATTGGAAAAAATATACCCTCCCCTCCCCTCCACTTTTCCAAACCAAATAAGGGGAGGGAAGCAAAATCCCTCCCCTCCCCTCCCCTCCCCCCAACCAAACACTGCCTTAATGACAGCACTTGCTACTTTTTAAGTGTGCACATTTTGTTTCATTACCTCTAAACCTTTAAACCACAATGCATCAGTAAATTTTCCAAAGAAACAACTGTGAAACACCAGTTGTTAGATCAGCAAAGCTGCTGCCAGCCCATAGGATTGCAATCTTCAAGTATTCATTCTATGCATCATAAATGCAATCTAATTGAAATTTATTTTACATGCAGCATGTAAACAGACCAATTATTAGATGCACATGATAATGTTGTTCAAATTGAAAAACATGTAAAAAAAAAAAAGAAACTTTCTGGTGACTTGAAAAATATTGAAAAGATACATAACATGGCAGCATGAACTAGTTAAATAAAGATTGTCCCCCATCAACTAGGATATCATGAATATTAATCCGCAGATATATTCTGTGGACTTGCATACAATCTGTATTCAGAAAAAAAGCAACAAAAGAGACACCATGCAAACAATTTAAAACGGTGGTGCATTAAAGAACAATAGCAGAAGGAAATGTTTTACCTCCCAGGGAGATGCATTGATATAAAGTAAAAGAACAAAAATTAAAGCTGAAGCAGTTGAAGTGGAAAAAAGCAGCAAAGCATGACGCAATTATCAAACTACCTTGAGTATTCTGAGTGTTCGAGAAACACTTTGCTTCATCAGACGCTGCTTCATATCTTTGCAGTACATCAGTCCAACAGTTTCAACATATATTTCAACATCCTCACAGTCATTAATTTGGAGACTTGACAAACCAGATTGTTCAGAAAGTTTCTCAGCAAAGAAGCTGCTCTTCTCAGTTAGAACATCCCTGTGGACACTTAACTTCACACAGAACCCCTGCTTTCCAAATAAAACGACCTTTGTATCACTAGTTCCAGCCTCACCAAACTCAATAGCTACCTTTCTCGGCAAACTTTCAACTTTGGGTCTCGGTGCTCTCCCTGTGGCCACAGGTGTGCCACCTGGAGGTCTTTCTGAACCAGTACATTGCTGATCATCGGACATCGCCAATCTTGATGGGGTAGGTGCTTGTCTTCTCTCATTTGCCGTGACTGTCTTCTTCTGAGCACTGGTTTTTGGTGGTGGTGAGGAGGGTTTAGGTTTATTCAGAGAATTTTGAGTTTTGAGGCTTTTCTGAAATACAACAGGAGAGGGACAACACCAAAAGCCTTCTGGGGTCACGGCGATTGGAACATTTTTAATCTTCGTTTGGCCTGGATCTACCCGGGTAAGCTTAATTTCCGCCATCTTCTACAAGTAACAAGGATCCGCAGCTGCTGTGACTAGCGAAGGAAGATGTGGCATTTATAGAGAAAATGGTGCGACCGAAACAGGTCCTAATCTACCTATGGAACAACGAATTGGTTGTGCCGGCACATGAAGGACAGAAACAACTCCGAAAAATTATGCCCCCTGGCCTTTTAAGAGCTCTCCTCTTGAATACAACACTGCCCTTCCCACAAATTCACTAATATGGCAAAGGAGAATGAACAGCCGTCGTTTAGAAGTCGATCTGCTTTCCCAACAAGGATCACTGTAGTTGAACTAAAATTGCATTAAACAAGAGGTATATACAACCTGACCGAAGAATATCGATAGTTATCTCGGACGGGAAAATTTTAAAACCTAAGCAGGGGAACAGGAACATATGCAGACGTAGCTACGGAGAAGATTTGAAAATTTTCTTCCAGAGGAAAGTGACAAACATTCTAAAGCATAAAGAAGGGATTTCATATGACTTAGAAGTTAACTTCATATCATCTGGCAGCTCATGGATAAATAAAAAGGGAGGAACACACTAAAAGAATGAACCATTGTCTGTAAATATTGAAACTCCCCCATAGCAGAAAACTTACCAAGAATTGATCGTCTCGTCTAAAGAGACACCAGAAAACCCTATGTCTTATCTAATACTGCTCTGCCCACAGAGCATAAAAAATGATTGAGCAAGAGCTCCAATGTCAAGCATCACGGGAACCGGTGAACAGAAACCTGCCAGGGAGAAATAATGAGCGTAGCCCCTCCTTGATTTGTAAAGCAGAGAAGACCACGAGACCCGAAAAAGCGAAATGGCAAAAGACTAAAGAGATGATAGCTCATGGGAAGTGTTCCTACTTTACCAGTATTATGTCCATCCATGCTTTTGATGATTGAATCTGTGTGGGTCTCTCAGTATTCATTTTCCCTCACTTTGCCTTTGCCCCCATGATTACTCCATATTCCTCGTTTGTTTTTACATAAAAGAAAAGTAATTACTTTCACTTATGCATTATCTTTTTTTTCCCTGTTAGCTCCTTAAACAACCCAGCAATTGAACAGGCAAGAGGCAAGCTCTAGCTCTTGGTGCGATCCATTATATTCTGTTCCTTTTATCTGGGTCTCTCTGTGCGCGCGCGCGCGCGCCTGTCACTGCAGGGACCATAGCTATGATGAAGAGTAGAGTGCAAGAATGCAAATGGTGCAATGACCAGAGCACCCTCAACTCAAAGTAGAAGAATAGGCTTAATCTTGATGCTTGAAGATCAAAGCATTGGCTAAAAAGAAAAGAAAGAAAATGGAATTGGCACTAAGCAATTTTTATCTTTTTCCTCTTTGGTTGTATTATGTGGAATTGGCTGCCATCCATCCACAGCGGTCTAACATAAACATGAGATGAAAGCGATGGATGTGTTGGGTCTTCACGGAAAACAGAAAGCAGAGGTTGTTCGTATTGGCTGTTTTGTTTGGGGGAATAATTAATTGGCATTGATTATTTGGCAGTACGCTGACATCAATCCAAACTGCTTGACTCCTTTTCTTCTTCCCCTTTTTTTATTCTTCATTTTTGAATCTCACGCAGAGCCTTGCTTTGCTGATTTGCTCCCATACTTCATTTTGTTTTGATCAGCCAACACCAAACCAGCGGATCCAGATGGTTTCATTAGTCAAAAAGCCTCGCTGAACCCCCGACATATGTGTGTGCGTTAAGAGATAGGAACACCCTTATTCTTTCACCCAAAAACAAAATCGTCATTCAAAAATATTCAATTTAAATTAATCATAAAATGTGGACTGCCTGATCATATGAATTTTATTGTATTATTTTTATTTTTTAATAGATTTTATGGTTTATATTTTAATCAGAATACATATTCAAAATGTATTGTACAGATTAGCAATATAAAAATAATATCTTAATATTTTTGTAAGAATATATAAAAATAATATTTAGGTTTTTGCCTCAAACAGTGCTTACAGTATTTTTATTTCTCAATAGCACAAAATGTTTATTTTGAACATTTTTTTATTCATAACATTATAGTATCTCAAGAAAACATAATCATCCGTCATCATAGTTTTATCAAATTTTATTTTTAATTCCTATAATTATAAAAAGATTGAATGATTTTTATTTTTTAAGTCTTTATAATTTCAATTTTTCTAGTACTTTTAGTCCCTATAAAAATTGAAAACATTGTAAAAAACTACAAAGATTAAAAGTAAAATCTAATAAAATTATAGGAATCAAATATTATATTTTGGGCCAAGTTGGATTATAATTTCCCCCCTTGATTTTTCACCATTTACATTGATGACATTTGTCTGGTATCTGCATAGCATAGTCTCTTGGTATAATTGAAATTAATGACAGACAAAACATAAATGGCTGAGTTGCTTGATGGCGAATCTACCTTTCAAATTAAACAATAAACATTAGTACTATAATAGTATTTGTTAACATTTAAGAGTTCAATGATTATCTTCAGCATACTTGGCAAGGATTTTTTCTTTCTTTTTTTGACTTTTGACCTGCACCTTTCCTTCGTAATATATCTAGTTACACTACCAGTGAATTACAACTTACGAGAATGCTTTTGGACCGTGACTTGAGTGAAATCATAGAGGTGGGCATGATTCTATAAGAGAAAAAGGTGATTGATATGAACAAAAGAGAAACAGAAGGACAGGACAACGTGTTTTTGTCATGAGAAGAAAACTAAGTAAAAGAAGAATAACAGGCCAGGTGGCCTCCGCTGGAAATGGTTAGGTGGTGATGTCCCCAGTTTACAGGCAATTAATGAACACTCCGTCACGTGCTTGTTTAACATTTAACTCCACCCAAATAATGATAACCAATGTTCTTCTTAATTATATACTCTCTCTTTAACAACATGATCATCACAGATTAATCCAAAAAGTTGCTGCTCATGTGTGGCCACTGATTACTTATTGGAGTGGCTTCACCTACCTGCAACCTTTCAAACCAACAAGGTCGCGAATTTTAGCACGGTTTCGAAAGTTACCCATGTTGTGGATCCTATGTAATGTGAGTGTCCAATTGCTGTGTCTGTAGCAAAGAATGGAGACGATTAGTATGGAATAGATTAAGATGGGAAATAGGGAGACAAAAAACTTGATAAGGTGAGCAAAAGAAAAGAAGTGCAACAATCAAAACAAGAGGAGTGACCGACATGCGAGCATGGCATGCTCTGTTCTGTTGCCTGCCATCATCTATCAGATTCGGATGTACATGTTGTCTAACTCTATTATTCAATAGCTCCATATTCCAGTGGCCCATTTCTCCTACTGTTTCACACTCTCACTTGCTATCCACCTTCGCGTATGTTCCTTCCCTCTTCTCAATATCCCGACATGATTGTACCATGGTACCTCATCTTTCTCAAATCTCAATTGCTTCGTCCTCCCTCTGCCCCCCATCAACTATTTGACATCAAGTGGAATTTTTCCATCACAAAGAAACGTGATAAAGCTTCCTCTCCCTCCCTCCCCCTCCTTTTGCTTTTCATTTTCTAGGAGTTTCTACAGCACCAATTCATAATGCACATGATGGCATACTGTCACGTTTCGTCATTTTCCACAAGGTTAAAGAGGTCCGAAATGCTCCAGAACCCTCCAGAAGGCTCCCAGCTAACCTTAAGAGTGCTAGAGAGTGCAAGAACATTCTAGAGAAGCCTACACAACTCTAGCCTCAATATTTTAATATTGTCTCTAGATTCTTCCATTAAAATATCTAGATATTTGTTAAGAGAATTCTAGAGAATCAATTGTAACCGTAGGATAGATTTAATCTCCACCATCCATTAAGGAGGTGGGAACATTCTAGATTCAAGGGGAGACCTATAAATACCTCACCCCTCCTCATTTGTAAATCATCCTTGAGTTCTCAAAGCTATAGAACTCTCACATTCTCCAAACTCTCTCTACTCTCCTTTGCCTTCAAGCTTTCCCTTTCCTCTTCTTAGCCCAGCATCCTCCTTTCATATGAGTTAGGCTTACTTAGCAACTTTCAGTGAAGGTTGTCTAAGTGCCGCACGGGTCGAAAGACTAGCCCCGTGACAGTTGGTATCAGAGCCCGGTTCTACCGTTGTGCTTGAAGGAAGGTATTGTACGATGGCAACTGAGGAAGGAAACGTCGTTGGCACGGAAGCACAGGAGCAAGCTCATGCACAACAGGAGCAAGCTCACCCCAGGTCCAAGCGAGAGCGAGGCTGGAGCAGGGCACCCGCAGGTGAGTACCTTGAACCTCGTGTTGTTAGCTTGGAATCTAACATGGAGGAAGTGAGAACTACTATAGGAGGACTCAACGATCAACTCAACAATCTCCTCCAAGAGAATGCTGAGATAACGCGGGCTGCCAAGTTGATGATTGCAGACCTTAACGATGATTTAGGGGAAGACATTCGTTCCCTCAGACGTGATCTCGCCGATCTCCGCAAATATGTAAGAGATGAGGTGCGAGGTCTACGCACTCAAATGGATGAGATTCGTCATGAATGGGAATCTCATCACTGTGTGAGTAGCCCTATTAGTGGTAGTACTTCAAACGCCACTTCTCAGGGTCTGAAAGTGCCCAAGCCGGCTATGTACAATGGGGCTCGTAGTGCTACAATTGTGGAGAACTTTCTCTTTGGCCTAGAACAGTACTTCGAGGACATGGGAGTCTCTAACGACTCGATCAGAATCAACAATGCTTCAACTTTTCTTCGGGATGTAGCCCAACTATGGTGGCGCAGAAAGCATGCCGAACGTGAAAAGGGCCTTTGCACTCTCAACACATGGGAGTTGTTCAAGTCAGAACTCCGCAAGCACTTTGTTCCCCACAATGCTGAGACAGAGGCTCGAGGTAAGCTTCGTAGATTGAGACAAACTAGTAGTATTCCTGACTACATCAAAGAGTTTACTACCATCATGCTCGAGATCGAGGACTTGTCCGATAAGGAGGCTCTTTTCTACTTCATGGACAGACTTAAAGACTGGGCGAGAGTAGAACTGGATAGACGCAAAGTGCAAACTCTAGATGAGGTAATTGCTGCTGCTGAGTCTATAATCGACTACTCCACCAAGTCCAAAAAGCCTAATCCTGGTAGCAGTGGAGGAGACAAAGGAGGATAAAAGAAGAATTTTGATCGTAAGGATGGTGGCAGATTCTTTGGTGGGAGTTCTAGACAGGATAAACCACCCTCAATCAGGCGTGATGCCTCAAAGCCACCGAGGCCATGCTTCATGTGCGATGGTCCACACTGGACTCGTGACTGCCCCAACCGCAAGGCTATGAATGGCTTGGTTGCTGAGATGAAGGATAACCGGGACAAAGAGCAACAGATCGACCTTGGTTCCCTCCAACATTTGAATTCCTTGACTGGACTCTTTTCTCCATCTAAGAAGGAAGAGAAGGGTCTACTTTATGCTGATCTTGCCATTCAGGGCAAGTCTGCCTCTGCCATGCTCGACACAGAAGCATCCCATAACTTCATGGAGGCTGAAGAAGCTAAGAGATTGGGTATCCAACTCAACAAGGGAGAAGGCACCATCAAGGCAGTGAACTCCCCAGCCAAACAAGTCCTTGGGATTGCCAAGGATGTGAAGGTGAAGATCGGGGACTGGCAAGGTACGCTGGACTTTACTGTTGTCCCTATGGATGATTTCAAAGTTGTATTGGGACTTGCTTTCTTTTGCAAAGCACACGCCTTCCCTATTCCCGAAGCCAAGTCTATGGTGGTCATTGACTCTAATATGATCCGGGTAATCCCCTTGAAACGCTTGGAGAAATCCAACCCTATGATTTCTGCCTTGCAATTCAAGAGGGGTCTCAAGAATTCAGAAGGGTATATTGCCACTGTACGTTCATTGGCTGAGGAAGAGGATGGCCCAACCAAGCCACAGGAAACCTTGCCAACTTGCATCCAAGAGGTGCTACAGGAGTACAAGCACGTCATGCCTGATGAGTTGCCCAAGAAACTACCCCCTAGAAGAGAGGTAGACCATCAGATCGAGTTGGAGCCTGGTGCCAAACCACCTGCCTTAGCACCTTACCGCATGTCACCTCCAGAACTTGAAGAGTTAAGGAGACAACTGCAAGATCTCCTTGATTCAGGATACATTCAACCATCTAAGGCCCCATATGGTGCTCCAGTCCTTTTCCAGAAGAAGAAGGACGGATCGTTGCGAATGTGCATCGACTACAGGGCCCTGAACAAGATTACTATCAAGAATAAGTACCCGATACCTTTGATCGCTGACTTGTTCGATCAGCTTGGAAAAGCCAGGTACTTCTCTAAGCTTGATCTCCGATCCGGGTACTATCAAGTATGCATCGCCGCAGGTGATGAGCCGAAGACAACCTGCATGACGAGATATGGAGCATTTGAGTTCCTTGTCATGCCCTTTGGACTGACGAACGCCCCAGCAACGTTCTGCACGCTTATGAACAAGTTGTTCCACCCTTACTTGGACCAGTTCGTGGTGGTATACTTGGATGACATCGTGGTATATAGCAATACTCTTGAAGAGCATGCTCAACACTTGAAGAAAGTCTTCCAGGTACTCTCTGATCATGAACTTTACATTAAGCTGGAAAAATGTTCTTTTGCCAAATAAGAGGTGGACTTCTTGGGGCACAAGATCAAGGATAGGAAGCTCATGATGGACCCAACTAAGGTTCGAGCTATCCAAGAATGGCAGCCTCCTACCAAGGTCCCAGAGTTAAGATCATTCCTTGGTCTGGTGAACTACTACCGACGGTTCATAAAGGGGTATTCAAAAATCACTGCTCCATTGACAGATTTACTCAAGAAGAATAAGTCTTGGCAATGGTCACAAGATTGCCAAGATGCTTTTGAAAAACTCAAGCAGATGGTCGCGCAAGAACCTGTTATGTCCTTGCCCGACTACTCCAAGCCGTTTGAGGTACACACCGATGCCTCAGACTTTGCGATAGGTGGCGTGTTAATGCAAGAAAGACACCCTATTGCGTACGAGAGCCGTAAGCTCAATGACACGGAGAGGCGCTACACGGTGCAAGAAAAAGAGATGTCTGCCATTATCCATTGTCTACGAACCTGGCGTCATTACTTACTTGGGAGTAAGTTCATTATTATGACAGATAATGTTGCTACGAGTTACTTCCAAACACAAAAGAAGCTCAGCCCAAAGCAAGCTCGCTGGCAAGATTTTCTTGCTGAGTTTGATTATCGGTTGGAGTACAAGCCAGGCAAAGCAAACGTGGTGGCGGATGCCTTAAGCCGGAAAGCCGAGTTAGCCACTCTCTCAGCAAGCATGCCCCAGAATGACTTCCTTGAACGAATCAAGGAAGGTATGTCTCAGGACTCATCTGCAAGCAACTTAGTAAAGCTTGCTACTGAAGGCAAGACTCGAAGATTTTGAGTGAATGATGGAATACTCTACACCATTGGGAACCGAGTCTATGTGCCAAAATGGGGCAACCTTCGAAGGGATGTCCTAAAAGAGTGCCATGATTCTATGTGGGCCGGACATCCAGGTATGGCACGAACACTTGCTCTCGTACAAAATTATTTCTATTGGCCACATATGCAAGATGATGTTGAAGCATATGTGAGAACTTGCTTAGTGTGCCAGCAAGATAAGGTTGAACAACAACATCCTGCTGGTCTACTCGAACCTTTGCCGGTGGCTGAGAGACCATGGGAGAGTGTCTCCATGGACTTCATAGTTACTCTCCCTAAGTCTGAAGGATGTAGGAGTATCATAGTGGTGGTTGATAGATTCAGCAAATATGCCACCTTTATACCAGCCCCAGCAGATTGCAAGGTTGATGAAGCAGCACGCTTGTTTTTCAAGCATGTCGTGAAGCTATGAGGGATCCCTCGCAACATCGTCAGTAATCGAGATCCTCGATTCATCGGGAAATTCTGGAGAGAACTTTTCAAGCTCTTGGGGACAGACTTGAACTTCTCAACAAGCTTTCATCCTCAGAGCGATGGACAAACAGAGCGAATCAACGCTTTGTTAGAGCTCTACCTTCGACACTATGTGAGCGCACATCAACGAGATTGGGCTAAGTTGCTTGATGTGGCCCAATTCTCTTACAACTTGCAGCGAAGCGAGTCGACAGGCAAAAGCCCTTTTGAGATAGTTACCGGACAACAGCCTCTAACCCCCAACGCACTTGCCACACCATACAAGGGAGACAATCCAGCTGCCTATAAGTTTACCAAGAAATGGCAAGAAGAAGCCGACATTACTCGTGCATGCCTGGATAAAGCTTCCCGAAAAATGAAGAAGTGGGCAGATAAGAAGCGGCGCCCCATTGAGTTTCAAGTAGGTGACTTGGTCATGGTTAAGTTATTGCCGAATCAATTCAAGTCACTACGCAAAGTCCATAAAGGCTTGGTCAGGAGATATGAAGGCCCTTTCCCTATCATCAAATGTGTGGGAAAGGTTGCGTACCAGGTTCAACTCCCTCCCAGGCTTAAGATTCATCCTGTCATCCATGTTAGTCTCTTGAAGAAATACTATGGAGATGAAGAAGATCCATCTCAAGGTATCTCTAAGAGAGCACCGACAGCGGTCATCACCGAGTACGACAAGGAGATAGAAGAGATCCTCGCCGACAGGGTGATCAGAAAGAGAGGAGTTCCCAACTACACCGAGTACTTAATCAAGTGGAAGGGTCAACCAGACTTTGAAGCTAGTTGGGAACGTGAAGACCTCCTGTGGCAATTCACTGACCAAATCCAACGCTACAAGGAGGAAGGTGCGACGAGGGCGTCGCGAAATCAAGTGGGGGAGAATGTCACGTTTCGTCATTTTCCACAAGGTTAAAGAGGTCCGAAATGCTCCAGAACCCTCCAGAAGGCTCCCAGCTAACCTTAAGAGTGCTAGAGAGTGCAAGAACATTCTAGAGAAGCCTACACAACTCTAGCCTCAATATTTTAATATTGTCTCTAGATTCTTCCATTAAAATATCTAGATATTTGTTAAGAGAATTCTAGAGAATCAATTGTAACCGTAGGATAGATTTAATCTCCACCATCCATTAAGGAGGTGGGAACATTCTAGATCCAAGGGGAGGCCTATAAATACCTCACCCTTCTTCATTTGTAAATCATCCTTGAGTTCTCAAAGCTATAGAACTCTCACATTCTCCAAACTCTCTCTACTCTCCTTTGCCTTCAAGCTTTTCCTTTCCTCTTCTTAGCCCAGCATCCTCCTTTCATACGAGTTAGGCTTACTTAGCAACTTCCAGTGAAGGTTGTCTAAGTGCCGCACGGGTCGAAAGACTAGCCCCATGACAATACGGTACAATATTGGCTTTGTCTTTATGTTTTATCTATAGATGTCTATTACGAGATGAAATTAGCGAATTATACCTCAGTAGGGTGAAAAAGAAAGATAGAAAGAAGAGGCCCGGCAAATCGCTTAGGAAATCAATGAGGAATGGGCAGATATTTAGAAATATACTTGCTTTGGCAATGATCCCTTGAAAGCATAGTAATAATTAATAAATATTAAAGATTGACGGCATATTTTATATTTTAGTCGCCAAATGGATGCATGAAGTTCTAGAAGACGTTGACCATGATGAAAGCGTCCGGTTTTGTGAATCCAGTCCTACCATGTAGAAAAATAGCTGAACTCCTAAACCTAAATCCTCGCTTGCACTCTGATCTGAAACAGCAGTTTTAGGAACGACAATGTCCAGATCCAGAAACCTATTAGTTATGTGCTCTGTTCTGATGGGCTGCCTTTTCGCTTACTCTGCCTCTGTTCAGCTGAATGACCCTGGTAATTTTTCCAAGCACCCCCGAACCTTTTTCTTTCCCCTTTCTTCTTCAGTGGATGTTTGGATCAATTTCATTTTCAACCATTGAGGAATAACCTTCGGGGTTTTTTTTCCCCCTCTAGACTGGTACTTTTGGTTTCCACTGTATTCCTGCGCCTGCATGGTTAATCTGACAAACAGCATCATCTCCGCCAAGCTGAACAGGCAAATCGCAAGGCTTTCGCCGTGGCTTGGGGTGTTTTTATTTGTCAAAGTTGTGGCGGAAGACCTTGGGAATGGAGCAGCGGGGTCTCTGTCATTGGATTTAAGTGAGAGAGTTGTCAGGGAGAAAACTGGAAGCCTGCTTGTTATCATATCCATGATCCTGCAGTTGCGACTATCATCTGCCCCAGATGACCCCTCACTTTTGGTAAATTACGGTGAGCTCCGGACGTTTAACTCCTCTCACCTTTGCAGCGAATCAATCAAAGTAATAATAATTATACAAGTCACCTGCGGTTGCTTGCAGGCATGCTGTTCTTGGTGTTTCTCAGTTGCATCCTAACCCTGCTATTCTTCTTGGTAACAAAAGGAGAAACGAAGTTCTCGCGCCAACAAAGAAGATCAGTCACGACCTGATTACTCGAGATAATGTCGCGGGCCACCCTTCAAGGGATATCATGAGGAAACAAGGCCTTTTAACAGAGTGGAATGTTCAAATGAAGTTCTTGTACAGAGACGCTATTTTGGAGGCCGATCATCGAATTTGATTTCTTGCACCTTTTCTGTTTTGGTTTGTATTGTGTTCATTTTGTGCTAATATTGGCTGCAATCTTCATTCAAAAAGAACACCAGTCACTCGTGGCATTCGTCTTCTCTTCCCGCCTGAAGACTATAACCAATATTAATTAATATAAAGTTCAAGAGCTGCTTTTCACTGGCAGCATATATGAGCTCGATCTGTTCAGGTCTACTCGGTACATTTTAATGCATTTCTGGTCAATAAATTGAACAAAAATAAAGCTTACTACGACAACGAACAGGACTAGCCACTAGATGATATAATCTTTTAATAATAAATTTAAAGAAACTATATTTTAAATACCTATAATATTCAATCTTTAAATTGATTCATAAAATTCAATCACTCATTATTAACAAGTCTTTTTAATTTATAATTTTTTTTTAGTTTGGTTATTATAATGAATATATTAACAATCTGTTAAACTGTTTATATAACAAATTATACAATACCTTGACAATCTCAATATACCTCATTCATTCTAATTTGTAAAAATATAAAAAATAAACAAAAATATTGATAAATGGTAAATCAAAAACTGCTTAAATTAAAGAGATTTAATTACATGTTTTTAGACTAGAAAAACAGAACTATAAATCAAGTGAAATTATCAAAGCTAAAAGTATATCTTTCCCTCTAAAATTTACAACATCGTTCCATAAACAAATGATACAGCCGACAAAAGAAGACAAGTTGAACCATTTCCGCCTATGTACATTTCCCTAATATTACCAGTCAACCAGAACCAAAGACCCGAAAAAAAAAATGGCAAAGAACCTGAAAATAGCCAATTTAGAAGGCTTCAACTCCAGATATTTTTCTTTTCCATTTGTTGTGGGACTCTGAAAAAAGAGAAAGGGGGCTGGGGGCTGAGGAATAGAGAAAATATAGCAAGACAAAGGGCAGATACCGCCAGTTGAAGAGATTAGGTCAGTAAAATTATAGATGGCTTCATGTGAGATGCCTGCCTCAATCAGATGCCTGATTTGTCATCATCCCGGCAGACACCAAGACTTGAATCTTTCTGACCTGAGCAAGTATGATCTGCAAATTGGAATCTTTTAATGTGGAGCAAATAATTATTTTTGCCCCAATTTTTGCACTCAAGATATAGAACAACAGAAAAGATGTTAAGCCTTCAGTGAAGGCGTCCCCTGCACTTCAAAGATCCACAGTGGCAAGGAGAACCTTCCCCAGGCAGGAGCTCATAATGATAATCACATGTCAGTTCTTCCCCCAATGCTATCTGTAGTGCAAAATACAAGGAAAAATGTAATCTATGAAGCGCAGTAATGCCAGATGTGTAGTAATTTCAACCATTCACGGTATGAATTGAAGATTTCAGTAAAACTAGAGGACTCTTAATTCATTTCAGTTGAGATGAAAAATTGAAGCGTCAAGTGATGTTGGTTATCCAATCCACAATAATTATGCTAGGGACCAACAAACCTATTAATAAAAATAATGAAGACAGCAAGATAACTGAGGGAAATACTGGGTTTTGATATACCCAATCAGCTTCACAGAATGGATACTAATTCTAGTCAAAACCCAAATCTTTTTTACACACACAAATCACACAAGCAGCTACAATTACAAGAGGACAGAACACACACACCACACACACAATGTTATTCTGGCATTTAAAAGGCCAGAACTCTACTCAAAACTCTTTTACTTTCCAAAATGACAGACTCCCTCCCTCCAAACCCGTATCTGCCCGTCCCATCACCTATCTCCATCTTTTCTACCTATTTAGGTGTAAATTCGCATGACCAACAATCTCTCTCTACTTAACACGTCTACTGTAGGTCTTAGGAAAAGTCTCCACCTTCTCCTAACAAGAGGCTCTATCAAATTACAGTACAATTCCATCAAACAGGATCTGGAAAGCTAAGTTCCTACACATATTAGGTACATGTTTTCTCATGCATTGCATGTGTCATGTCTGCAAAGAATCACATTGTTCATGATTTATAAATAATACAGTTCATTATAGGTTTTATATGTTCTATTGATTTGTCAATGTAGATCTTCAACTTAATATGAAATTCTGTTCGACCCCCATGCCCTATCTCATTCATGACTCTGGTGCATCCTACAGACAAATCAAATGCCAAATAGAGAAAAGTATTGGCCTGTGAACAGTCAAACATCATTTGTTTGGATATTATCATTTAAGAAGCAAATCACATAATAGAATTACTTACATCTCGACTTGCATAAAAACCAATATGTGTACGTTCACTGTCCATGCTTTCTACAAGAACTTGATGGTTCATAAGATTGGGCGAGCAGCTGTAATTACAAGAGATTGTGACTTGTGATAAACAAACCAACAGACAATAAGTCGTAAAGATCATGATATTGTTTTTCCCTTTTTTTTTTTTTTGGCCAAAGACAAACCGAGCATATAAGATGCTGCTTGCTATAACAGATTAACCTTAGTATTCAGAATGAATTGAAAAGATTGTCAAACTCCTCTCATGTTATCATTACTAACAAAAAGCAGAAATAATTAGCATAACATCTGTTTAAGTAAAGAAAAGAAAATTGATCTACTCGGATATTATAAGAAATATTTGATAGAACTTATAGTTTCTCCTCCCCAAGAGAAAAACAAAAGGTCTGAATAAAAAAGATCACATTACAGAGAAAGAAAGAAAGAACAGATACACACCCAGTCATCATGTTTCAAACTAATGACCCCATATCAGTAGAAGACAAAGGCAAAATAACAGCACGAAGCGGCAGTAGGACTATAGGTGAAGGAAAAGGCCAAGTACAAATATGCAACCCAAAAGTAATTCACAATGTGAGATGTCCCAGGCCCAAAAGTATTTCATGATGTGAGATGTCCCAGATAAAGCAAATTTCACCACGATCTGCCCAGTTCCTTAACAGTGAAATGGCCATGTTAAAGTGAAAAAGGTTACCCTGACAAGCATTAAACCCCCTTAATATAAGGAGCTAAATGATATTGATATTGATGGACAAGAACCAGTTCAAAAACATCACTGCCGACAAACCAGTGCAACAAAAACAATATAAGGAGCTAAATGATCACCTATGATTGATGAACCTCGAGACATTTCCATATCTAGAAGCATCAATAACATATCGGCCTTGTCCTTCAATCAATCTGCTCATATCATTAATACGAGCATCAATGTCAAGGAAATATCTGCAACCCTCTATGCCATGCCTGATTTTTGAAACACAACATGTGAGGTAAAGGAAAAACAATAATAATTTAAAATTAAAATCAAATAACATCTTAAAAACCTCTTGCGCCTGTTATGTGCCTCCTGCTCATTTAGAACCTCTCCAACATACTCACACACAAATGTGCCACGTAGGATGGCTTCACCAGCCCTCACAGCCCATCCCTGCAAACAATGTAGCAAAAGTTAAAGTGAAGAGCCTAAGAATTAATCCATCAAAATAAGGCAGATCACCTTTTTCTCTGTTTTAAAAACTTCCAATTTAACACGAACTCCATTTTGCAAAATTCTGTTTGGACAGGTGTTATTACATCTGCACCTATGGTTGCATTCGTAGACTAAGTAACCTTCCTGCAGTTTCATAGGAACAGAATGAAACAAAGAGAAAATTCATAAATAATCCAGAAACACAGAATGAAGAAAGAGGGAATACCTCTTGTCTATATTACAAAATCATGAAAAAAACTCAATGGCAAAGTCAAATGATAGAATTTTCGGTAATATCATATCAATAATTCTAAAAAATCAAAAGACCCTATGCAATGTCAAGCAAAGACCAAAAGAAACATATTCTAAAAACACATTGTAGTCCACATATTCTAATCAGATCTGCTCCGAATATATTGCACAAGGACAAAAAGAAACAAATTTCACATCTAATGTGTGGAAATATTGTGGAATAGTTAAAGAGCAAAGAAGTTAAATTTAATAAGTTAGAAATATTTTTTTCCAATACCTAACAGATTCAGAAATATATTCTTCACTCACATCTTAGACGAAATGGAAGTTTGCAGATGATGAGAATTCTTTACCTCCAAAATCATTCTACCGTTTTCATCATATGGGAATCTGCCACGCATTGGTTTTCCAAATATGTCCCTTGCATCTTCATAGTCATTATCAAAAAGGTATACATGAGCACAAGTTTCAGGACTACAAGTAGAATATGAACAGGAACATCCCAACTGCAGACTCTGCAGATACAATATCAAAAAGGTGTACATGAGCACGAGTTACAAGCCAATTAGAATCCTAGAGTTGTATGCACTAATTCTTTCTAGTGCCACTTCACAGAAAAAATTGTATTGATTAAAGCATAGCCCTTCTGTGTGTGGATGCACACAATTTTCCGGATTCACCAAACAAATAATAAGTAAACAATTTAATGGACAAAAAAAAACAATTTTATAGATACTTTTGCTTGAACATGATCAACACTTGATTGCCTATAATATATGACAAATGAGTGAAATGAAATAAATGTAATATCAAAGAATAAGACATGATAAGCTACCTCTGAATCAAGATTCAGGGATTGATCAAGCATTGGCTTCGTAATGTAGGTAAAGCTCTCCCATGGCATAGAAAGATTCATAGCATGTTCATTAGACCTACACATATGAAGTGAATTTTGAAGTTCTTGATCTACTACACATATCACTGGAACTGATTCCTTCCCAAAGCTTATATCATCACATACAACTACAGCCTTTTGCAAGGATCCTGGTTTTAAATGGTGCGAATTGATGGTGTAATGAAACTCATCCACCTCCCACTCGTCCACTGCAGGATCTGACATATTTAAAGCCTTTTGCTTTACAAAACGATTAGGAAGAGATGCTACGTGAGAAAGCAAAGGTTGGTCCTTCAACGCCTTGCAACCTCTAGGACAATTAAAGCCTTCCTGGTGCCAACTCACTAGAATATTGTGTTCACTGCAAAGTTTTGCAGCCTTCAGATACAGCTTTTCAGGCAGAGTACCAAATTTCTCCTCTACTGCAGCTTGAAGACCAACTTTGCAGCAGGCAGAGTGAGAAATTGATAGAATATCATGATTGTTTGGCCGAGGCTTAGTCTTTTGGATCTCAGAAAACAAAATCTTAGCAACAGCAGAACATTGATACTCTGCCAACTTACAAATATTTGT